TGGTGTTAGCATTGAAATTTGTAAATTCCTTCTCTATTTTCCAGTCCAAAATTCTTTACTTAAGTTCGCTTCGACCAAATGGTCCTACGATGTCATTTTATTGTTAATGGAGTACTAATATTTTTGAACAAGTTGTCGAACAGATATTTTGATATTGAGTCTGTATATGATATTTGTGTTAATACATTAGTGATATTTGTCTAGATTTATGTCCATTTTCACATTTAACTTGATCATGTTCCTTGATTCATCCACTAAAATTATGGATCTTGCTTCCTGTAACATGTCTTAAGGAATAAAATGAGGTAAACCCGTACTAACCAACCTTCCAAGTAGGGAAAGGTTACTGAACTTGGTTTTAAAGTTAATAGATTTAAGTATATATGTTTTACATTGTTGTGAATTTTAACTTTTGATAACATGATTTTTAACATTTTATCAGGTTACTACATTATACATAACGTAATATTTACTTGTAATTACCTTATAAATGACTCGATCGTATAAATATTTTCTTATTTATGTATGTCCACAGAGTTTTTAAATTTCCAACACTATCTAAGCTGGAATGACATAATTTTCTGATCTCTAGAGCATTTCTGCCACCTTCTTCTATGGTATCATAATGACATAATGACTCGGGTTTGACTCCGATTAAATAGGAGTGAGAATTTGGCCTTATGAAATTTCTGGTGGCAGCACATCTGGTGTAACTGCACATGCGGGGTTTTGGTCGCAAGTGCGGAGTCGCGAAAGCGGCCAAGAGGGTCGCAGAAGCGGTTCTGGGCGAGCTGGCCAGTAGCGCATGTGCGAGACCGTTTCCGCATATGAGATGGCGCAGATGCGACGCCCTTGAGTGCAGAAGCGGAATTGCTGGGGAAGGCTGGGACCGCAGATGCTTTCGAGTTCCGTAGAAGCGGAACCGCACCTGCGCATGAGGAGCCGCAGAAGCGAGGGCGAAGAAGCGCTGGAAGAGCTGCAGATGCGGTAGGCGACCTGGCCTGGGCTCTCGCAGGTGCGAGATTGAAGCCGCAGGAGTGGCTGTCTCAGAAGCGACTTAGGAACCGCATGTGCGAAAGGCCGCTGGGCAGTATTGTTTTAAGAATGAGATTTGCCCATTTTCTTTCTTTTCCACTTGGTTGGGACTATTTTTTGAGAGCTTCAAAGGGAGATTTTCATCAAGCAACATAAGGTAAGTGATTCTCACCTTTTACAATTTAAATACATGGTTTGTATATGGATTTAAACATGGAAATTAATAGAAATTTGGGATTTTTGGTAGAAAACCTAGAAATTGGATTTTTGGATTTTGACCACGAAATGGGATATGAATTAGGAATAAATTATAGATTTGAGTTCGTGGTGTTATGAGTAAGGTTTATCTTCAAAAAATTTCGGAATCCGGGCACGGGGGTCCGAGGGTCGACTTTATCGACTTTTCGAGCGGAGTCGGGCATTGTTATGAATTGATTAATTATGGGTAATAGAGTATATATTTATGGATTTGTACATTTGTTTGACTAGTTTTGGAGAGACGGGCATTTAAGGTGTTTGAGAGGTGTTGGAGCCGATTTTGGAACTATATTTTTCTTTCTTTTTTATTGGCGACAACAAAATAAAGTCATCACTTTAAAGTTGACGTCTTTAGCTTTACCAGTTAGCACGTTTCTTTGAAAATTATAGAATACAAAAAAAAGTTTACTTGCACGTTTCACTGAAAATTATAGAAGAGAAAAGAACCCACTCTAAATGAAGTGTCGAGGCTCTAAAACGAACTTAATAAGGGTAGTGCAGCCATACAAACATAACCAATAATTGTCAAAATATAGAGTTTGCTGTTGCTATGCACACACGAACACTGAACCATCTCAAACTGTTGAACCCACGAGACCACTACACCACAAAGGTGTGCTATCTCAAGTGTTTTCATTATTATTATAATAACGGCATTGTTACTGTTTTAGATGATAATTATATATACACACAATATATTTCCTGAAGAAGCGGGTTCATTTGAACCATTACACGTGGGTCCGCCCCTGCTTAGATACTATGTTAGTAAGTATTTTAACAACTCACGTGATGAAATATAAACGTGTGTTGCTATGTTTAAATGCTTTGTTAGAAATTATTACCCCCAAAAAAAAGCGTTGTTAGAAACCATGCCTCTAAGATCTCCGGAAGTCATATTGCTTGAACCTCGAACTGCTAGAAGTTATGCTTCAAGGCTTATATTGGCTGTTTTGATTTAAATGTTTAATTAGTCTTCTGTCGTGTCGTTGTGATCATTGATACGCATGGGTGGTATAAGGAAAGAATGTGAGATATTTATTTTTGGGACTACGAAGCGGTACCTCGGGAGTGCCCCTATTGATTTCCTCTATTTGTTGTATTATCTGTTGTTGTTGTTCCTTAACTTGTAAGATTCTTGCTTCCTTACGTGTTGTATTCGTTTTCTTTGATTCCATGTTGTTATCTTCCGTAAATTCTTATTGTTACACTTCCCGGTCATTTTATTATATCATTATATCTTCTGCTTTGTTTCTTATTATTCCCAGTAGGGCCTTGACCTGACCTTGTCACTACTCTACCGAGGTTAGGCTTGGCACTTACTAGGTACCGTTGTGGTGTACTCATACTATGCTTCTGCACATGTTTTTGTACAGATCGAGGTACATCCTATCTGCCTCGATATTAGAGTGTTGTGCTGCTGCTTGGACTTCAAGATACACATGCCCGCGTCCGCAGGCCTCGGAGTCTCCTTCTATCCCGCCCTTTCCTTATTTCTTTATGTTTTTTATAAAGAGTGACGTACAGGTCAATTGCAACATTGTATCTAGAGCTTGTGACTTATACATCACCGGGTTTTGAGAGTTATTTATACTTTGAGTTATAGTTTTTATTTATTACAGTTGTTGACGTTTCGAGTTTTAACTTAATGTTTCAGTTACTCCGCATGCTTATTAGGCTTACCTAGTTTTAGAGACTAGGTGCCGTCACGACATCCTACAGAGGAAAATTGGGGTCGTGACAACATGACTATTTATAGAATAAATCTTTCATGTATCTAGCCTACACTACATATAAACATAATAACTAAGTCTACACCTTACATCTTTCAAGGTACATGGATGACACTACTAGACATTGTATCTTCTAAAGTACATCTGTGTGTTCACACTTCAACACTCAAGACCCACTCCCCCCCCCCCCCCCCCGAAACTGAAGCACTACCAAAAAGCAATGGTATCATAATTAGGATTCTGCACCAGTTCCTTCCATCGAAGAACACACTGAAATAAGAAATGTAGGACAGATCAATATCATAATATTGGTTGTATGGGCAGAGCGTAGGCCAGTCAAGAATTCACACTTTCAGATAATAAATTTAGCGGAAATGAGGATGCTTAGACAGAGGTGTATTTAGGATTTTAAGAACATGAGTGCACCATTATGTTAATTAAAACAGGCATGGAGAATTAGAAATTTCTTTATTTATTAATTATGGAGATCGAACCCCTAATCCAAGGGACAAATGGGACTCTCTCCTTGGAGGAGCACGGGCTTAGTCAAGTAGAACCGGGTTGCGCTGCTTGATGCTCTGATCGAAAACAAATCAGTGGGGCCATGCCGGTACGACTTAGTCACCAGAGTAGTCACTTGAGCATAGGTGGTCACAAATATATTTAGGTACATAATCTAAAAAAATTAGTATGTTTATACTGAACCTAGGGAGGGGAGCATGGGTGCATGTACCCCATCCTCCTCTATATAGAACCGCATCTGTGCTTAGATGGATGTGTGGGCACACTTGAAGAGCTGACTGAGGATGTTCGCCTTGATATTGCCGATGGCTGGAAAGATCTTAGTTTTAAGACCGATGTCACTTTCTGAATTCACTGACAGGTGTGTTGCAACTTTACCTATATGTTGTTACTCGGAGTTTTGATGCATTAATGAACTCGTGAATATCTTAGATTTTGGATTATAATGGTGGGAGGAGTACCAGTCCAAATGTTAGCTAATGGGCGGGAAGTTTGTTAGTTATTTACACAATTTAACTTCAATCGTATTTCATCGTAGTTGTACTTTAATTTTATCTACCACGTTGAGCACCAAACCATCCGCCTTCACTGCTTCAGACTAGGTTTTAACCAATTACGACTTATTAAACTTTTGGCTAATTAGCCACCTTGTTTTGGTGCTAGATATATATTATGAATTGATGGGAGCAAACTCTGTTGTTGTAAAAGAAAGAAAAAAAGAGAAGACAAAACAAAAGTGAAAAAGTCAAAGAAAGAAAGAAAGAAATGAGAAGAGGAGAAAGAGATATGTGAAAAAGACTAAGAAAGAAAGGAAGTGTGAATGAAAAGACTACAAAGTGTGAATGAATTAGAATTAAATTGGTTTAGAATCGCGGTGTCCGCATGTTCACATTTTGTTGAAGATTTCAGCTGATTCTTTTGCCTATAAATAGGCATCCACTTCTCGTTTGTAATCCATCCTCACGACATTCTTCTCTCTTTGAATATCAATTAAGTTATTCTCGTGGCTGTGGAGTAGACAAAAATTATCAAACCACGTAAATTTTATCTTGTCTTGTACAATTAATTGCTTTTCTCTTTAAATATATGTTTCCCTTCTATTAGTCTCACATGCTTCCCAACATGAACTTCAGCATTGCATGGTTACTCTAACAAACTTGCTCGAGACTCCTACACGCGGTAATAGCTGTGGACATATTACTGTTTCTTATTAATCCAACAAAAGCAAAAGAGTGGGGTCCAAAACCCAGAAAGGCCCTGACACGGTAAATCCATTATAGAACTAGTGAAACCTTCATCAAATGGTGCCACTTCTAAATTTTGAGAAGGAATTATCAAGGAAATGGTAGCAGAAACGAACACATTTTAGTAACTAAACAACAAACTTTGTGTTTCTTCCCATCACATATGAAAAAGGCCCTAAAAAAAGAAGTGAATCTGAAGGGGTCAAAAGAGTATAAAAGGACGAAACTCCAATAGCCAAGGCATAATCCAATCTATTCGAGCAATCCAAAAACGAAACCACCAGCACTGGTGACCTCATCCCAAGAGGAGTTGCTAAAGACTACTATCTGCGCTATCAACACAAAGAGTTCATAACATAAACACATGATATGACAACAAACTGGAAAAGGTTTTTGTTCCAATGCACTTCAAAGTGCAGCTAAGATACGATGGTGTATACAACCATATTTACCCAGTCTAAGCATCAGGGTCATCAGCCATACAAGTGACATATGCGAGTGAGAGTAGTTGAGAAGTTTTAAATGAGTAAACTAGAGGGAATCAATGCGTCGACATGAATCTGGCACAGTTGGACTATACCCACCTATGCTTACCAGTGTATCAAAGACGGTGTCTATACGTGGACGTTCATCAGCTGCAGGACGCACACATGATTGTATAAGTTGTGTCATTCTAGTGCCAGTGTCTGCATCTATCTCAAAGCTTTCATGAACTATGGATCTTCGATTCAACTTTTCAATATAATAACCTGGATGATACCCATCCTTCCACTTGCGCTCCTTTTTGGTTATCAACTCGAGAAGAAGAATGCCAAGTTCAAACACAGTTGCTTTCTCAATGGAAGCCTGATCTGCAAAATACCAATAAATTGGTCTCGTTTCACTTTACTGATGGGAATGACTCTATACGTACATCTAAAGAGTGGTTGTGAGCCTTAAACATCAAACAATAATTGGAGTGTACATCTAAAAATATTCAATGCCTCTAAAGTTTACACTAGAGATTCAAAGCTAGTAGAAACAAATACTATATTATTTTATTATGAGAAGATTGCATTTTCAGTGTCCAGCTGTAGAAAATGGTTATCTTCTGCTAAAGGTGTAGAACTTTCAAACACAAATTGTGGTGGTGAAAAAAGTTAACAATAGAAGATGAATCTATAAAGAGCACAAGAGAACGACAACAAAGGCTAAAAAGACGACTAACTAAGTGCGGGGTAAAGCCTTAACCAACCAGTACCAGAAGTTAAGGAACCAAGAAAAGGGAAGAAATTATAAGTTAGCAAGACCACACCAGAAGATGGATTAAGACCTGAACCAAGTTAAACACATTAAAGACGAGCTCCTACAAATTTTGAGGGAGATAGCGAGAGGAAAGAGAACGAAGATGATATTTCAATCAATTGCTTATCAGAATTCACGAGAATAACTTTGCTGGTCTCCATACATTCTTGAGAAACAGAATCAGCATACCCACTGTAATCCCGCATAATCCCACATAATAGGGTCTGGGGAGGGTAGAGTGCACAGAGACCTAACTCCTACCCTTGTGGAGGTAGAAAGGTCATTTCAACAAATCCTCGACTCACGGAAAGCATAAGCACAACAATAACGAAAAAGGAATACGGGAATGTAGAAGCCATGAAAAGAAACAGTAACAACAACAAACCCATGAAAGAACCAGTAACAACTAACAACAGCAAAGTAATAAGACGACCGAAGAGAAAGAAACAACACGTAGTACTAGAAATCTAAAAATAGGAAAATACGAGACTACATACTAATACTAATGGTATGGAAAAGAAGAACACTCGACTACCCACTACCCTCTTACCCTAATACTCGACCTCCGCACCTTCCTATTAAGGGTAAGGTCCTACGATATGTCCTGCCTAAACTTAAATATTATCATAGAATTAGATATATTGAAGCAGATGTCTGAAAAAGTGTGGGTTAGAGAAGCATGTGATTCAGATTGTGTCCTCATAGGTATGGAAGTGCCTTCGAGAGGTTAGAGTATTATGACTAATTTAAAGTATTCAATTATTTTTTAAGGAGAGAAAATATGCAAATGAGTTCAGAAGTACCTTGGTTTTTACATGCAAGGATAAAGAGAATTGAGGTTGCACAAACTATCGTCTTCTCAAATTTATGAGTCATACTGTGAAATTTCGAAAAAGAGTAATAAAGCATAGATTAAAAAATTATTACAAGGACGATAGAAAATCAGTCCAATTTTATGCATGAGATCTACAGTAAAAGCTATATATTTGTAAAACAAATAGACCAAAACAATAACGAGAAGAAAAAGGATATGACAAGACTTCATTGACTTAGAAAAAGCATATGATGAGAGTGCTAAGAGAAGTCCTTTAAGGTGGTGCTTGACCAGAAAAGAACTCATTTTAAATATATTATATACCTTAAAAGATACATTTTCTTTTATCAGATACCAGAAAATATTTGTATAAAGAAGCTGAAACAAAAGAAAGAGTCCTTAACCAGCATGAAAAAAGAGCACGAAATAGAGAAGGTTCCTACTTGGCCGGAAGTCGTTTGACGTCACGGAGAAGTGAATCTTTAGATGATACAGGCGGGTGGAAAGACAAGGAAATGCAGGCACAGACTAACAATCAGTAGAAGGGGCTTCTTGATTTGTCAATCACTGATGTTGCCTTCGAACAGTAAAGCGATACAGGAGGTGGGATAAGGAGTAGCAACTCTACAGCTACAGAGTCACAGGTCACTCATAACTTCAGCGTTCATCAGAGAACCAGTTCTCTGTAGTTCTCTAAAACGGATGGCAACGGGGCAGAGTAGGGCATGCGGGCTGGGCACGCTAGACTCTTCTGCAAAACGCTATCGGAAATGTCCGACCACCCTAAGTTGAAAGAGAGCTTGAAAAACATGATGTTTCTTCTTATATAATGAAATTGAGTAACAGACCCAATGTATCTCCAAAATCTGTTCAAGTTTTGGAAAATAGAAAACTGAACTTATTTTTACTTCAAAATCCAACAACTGATGGACCTTAACCTGTCGCTCCGAGGCAAGCACCAAAATATAGCAAATCCAACATAATTTGAAATAACAGGTAACCTCGATTATGTGCTAGCAAAAAAAGCTAAAAGGGTTGCAAAGCAAACTTAGGGAATGAAACAAGAGCTCTTTCAAAGATCTTCGGAGGAGAAAGGATGAGGCGAATGCAGGCAAGTTTTCAGATGCAGTTGGAAGATGTGGCAAAGAGAGATTTCTTTGAGAAAAAATCAAGGTTTCTATGGCTGACTTGTGGAGAGAATAACACAATTCTTTCAATCGAGAAGCTAGCCGTTGATGATAGCATTTCAGAAAATGCATAAGTCACCAAACTAGAGAGAGAACATTTCAGAAAACCTAGAGGACAAGAATTTATATTTAGGGACCGAAATGCGGAGACCAAGTTTAGTTTGGAAGATATGCCAAGAATCTCATAGGAGGAAAGAAACTGGTCACATAGACACAACATGTGCAACTGGTGCTATCTATGCATAAGAGAAATGCAAAGTAACTACCACATAATTTTTGTATTGCAAGGTGACAGTTAACCTCTGTGTTATGTTCCTGAACATGTTCAAGTTGAAACGGGTATTGCCAAAATCTCCAAAAGAGCTATTTATGTGCTGGAATAGAAAAGATATCACCAGGAAGAAAAGAAAGCTGTGGACCAAAACACCTGCGTGCATCTGGTAGATAATTTGGAAGGAAAGGAGCCTCAAGTGTTTGGAAAGTAGACACGAACCTATTTATAAAATCAAGTTTGATTGCATATGTTTGCCGTCATTTTGGTGTAAAATGTTCTAATAGAGGACAGAGAAGAACTCATCGAGTTCATTACTGTTATACAAGGCTAGGAAGTTTTCCTTTTGTACTCATGTAATACCCACGCACACAGTACCTCGCGGTCTAAGTAGGTTAGCATATGAGGTAGTCAGGTGCCAACCTTTTGTTGTATAGCACCTTCTTGGTGCTGCTTATCAATAAAAGCTTTACTTTTACCTGATTAAAAGAAAGAGGTGTATAATGAAGCTTTTGCAAGTGCGAACCGTAGAAAAAAAGACAAACTGATTTTCTTATGATCGCAAATTTACAGCAGGAATCATCGTTAAACTTGTACCTGTTTACCTAGCTATGGACGAACCAACCAAAAGTATACACGATGATGTACCTTGTTGCTTGCAGATGAAATAACATAAGAGTCAACAAAAATTTACTCCAAATAAGAATTGAGGGCAAGTAGAAGAAAGAAGAAATATATGCACTATAATCTCTGCCCAAAAACATTATAAGGGAGTGATATTGGAGCTTCATACCACAATATCCACAAGATCAAACATCATAAAAATGTGGAAGTTAAGATGAAAGTACGATAAGACAACAATGAACACGATTACAAAAGATCATATTTTGTACAGTGTGAAAGAAAGACGAGACAAAATAAGAGAAGGTGGCCTGGGTAGACCTCCATATCCATCCAGTTGTAGGTGCAAAAATATATGATTGAAGATAATAAAAGGGACGAGACAGACCTAAAATCACATGAAAAAGGTCTTGAAAGAACCATAATCGGCCTAAATCGATATAACTTAGCTAAAAAAAGAACGCAATGAAAGCAAATGGATTCATATAGGCGAAAAAACTAGTTGAGACTATGACTTAGTAATAGTTGTTACACTCACATTCAGAGGCGGATCTAGGATTTGAACCTTATGGGTTCCCAACATTTGGGCAAAAGTGATACTTTAAGCAAGTGAGAAAGTTTTTTAATGTTGGCTGGAAAGGTGCCTATGGGTGCTGTTTGGTGAAAAAAACAAAAGTGACGTTAAGAAGTGTTCAAAGGGATTCGAACCCCCGCCAAATATTCAGGAACATAGCTTAAGCTGGTTCCTTTCGTTTTCCACTGGACCAACACCTGATTTTGCTTATGGGTTCCAAACTAAAAATACTTACACATTTAAATTTATCAATACAAATACAAGGCTCGGGTAAAAGTTACTGGGTTCCCGGGAACGCACACCCGATACTATGGATCCGCCCCTGCTCACATTAGCTCTTGTTTTGTGGTCAAAAGACAGAATTCTCACTAGATGCATGTATGTTTGCGTATGATAAGCATGCACTTAATCTTTGGATGAAATACGTATGGGAAAATAGAATGGACACGCACTCAAAGGTGTGGTGTACGGTCAATAATAGGAGCAGTAATATAACTTATGGAGTAATAAAGATGCACAGATACCTGAGGCAGTGGCAGAATTGTAAACCCCGAGTGTCTGCGGGAATGCATGGACTCTAAAGTCCAACAGCTTAATGTTATATTCCTGCATCGAAAAAATAAATAGACAACATGTAGGAGATATTCTCAAGGGAGGAATCAGGGGATATGACACTGAGAGACACGGAATAGCATTTCAGACCTCATCTATCATACTATCAGTACAACCATTACTCCAAACATCAAACTGCTTCCGGCTTAATGTTATCAGGAGCAGTGCATAATCAGTTGCCACCTTCATTCGCTCCTTCCACCCAAATTCAGCTAAAAGTGTGTAACAGAGTGTTAGCAAGTGCAAGAAACAACTAATTATTCAGACTCCCCTTATTCAACAAAGTTCAAGTAAGTCAATACCAGAACGAACTGCATTCCACAAGGGTGTCTTGAACTTCATATCATAAACTACAGCAACCTTCTTGTCAAAACAAAAGCCAATCAACTTCATCAAGCAAGGATGAGACTTAAATTCTGACCTTTCAAGTAATACAATTTCATCCTGTTGCAAAGTCACAAAATTAGTGAAATGACAACACAGACAGAACCAATCAGTGAAATATAGCATTTACTCACCCGGAATTTTCGTGGATACGAATCATAGCTTATAACCCCAGGAAAGATAAAATCCCATGTTTTGACAGTAACCTCCCGCATTCCTTCACCGTCATCTATAAACCCCCGGAACAATCTGCCATATCCAATGTGCTGGATAAAATTCTCTTCACAGAACCCATTAGTGATCTTCTCCAACTCATCATGGCTCAAATTTTTTGCATCACCCACATTGAAACCTTGAGGAGGACCCCTGCATATTTTGTTCATGTTAGCTTAGCCACTAACAGGAAAGATGTGGAACGAATAGACAAAACAAATGTCTAGTAAAGGATGAGGAGAAGAATAATATGTTTTGGATGGCTAAATCTTTCTAGGTCAGTTCCTTTAACTGGAATTGACCAGTAGAGAAGAAAGGAAGACAAAATGTATGGCATACCATGACACAGAAGAAAGGTGCTCTATTTTCACTTGGTGTTTTGTTTATATAAGGAGTAAGGGGTAGACACAGGCTGATTGTTATAATGGTGAGTAAAATTAGACAAGGATCGTTATATGGTGAGTAAAACAACAGAAAGATTGTTTAATTCAAGGTCATTTTTTTGTCTTGGAACACTCTTTGCGGATCGCAAAATGCAAAGTTTTAATAGTAAAGGGCAAATGATGCAATAAGTTCTGAAGAGTTTTATACCACACAACACATCAAAGGGATTAAAATGTAAATCGAGCATAAAACCTTATGTTTGCTTCATAAAGCTGTACATTACTAATTTGACAACTCCTAACGGCACATCACAGTTATGAGCATTAGTATTCAAGATTCCAGTGTTTCACGGAGGACCATTAGGCTCCCCGTTCACACAATCATCTGGAATTTCCAACACCTCCAATGGGCATCCGTTCACTAAAAACATTTTACTAGTCAAAAAAAAAATCTGGAGGCACGTGTATACTTAAAGACTCCTGATTATACCTAGGATTTAAAAAGAGATTAAATCAAATAAATAAATAAATAAGGAAGAGAGTGCTATGATATAAATTGGGTAAAATATGAAGAACAAGAGAAGTAGGTGTCCTAAATAATCGTACAAAATAATAGAGGGGAAGAAAGATTACTCCTTTGCAATTGCCTCGTAGCCTTCCAGAAGACGTTTAAAGTTTTGAATGAAAGCTTCTGGATCAAGCCGGCCACATCTAGCCATAGGCGAGCTTCGAATATTGTCTCTGTCATAGCGAAAATATGTTGCCGTCTAGCTTTCCCAATTCGAGCAAGAATGCCTGTACGTCGTCCGCCATTTTTAGGTTTATACCCGCATACGGTATAAAAATGGGTGAAACATTTACCCACAAAACAAAATTATTTAACCTTACATATACATTTATTTTTCTACCCATCAAACTAATTACATTTCTGTTATAAATATATTATATTATGGATGTTCATTTATTACTCCGTTATAAATAAGCTTGAAGAAGCTTATCCATATGGGGACTCCACCGTAAATATGTTTATATACTCTATTGGAAATAAGCTTCGTGAAGAAGCTTATCACTTCGATACCCGATTATGGATAAATATTACCCCGGTAGAAGATTATCCATACCGGGTATAATAAGCTTATCCTTTCAGTACCCAGTTATGGATAAACATTACCCCGGTAGAAGATTATCCATACCGGATATAATAAGCTTATCCTTTTAATACCCAGTTATGAATAAATATTATCTCCGGTAGAAGATTATCCATACCATGTATAATAAGCTTATCCTTTCAGTACCCAGTTATGGATAAATATTACCCCGGTAGAAGATTATCCATATCGGGTATAATAAGCTTATCCTTT